AACTGTCCCAGGCCCTCTGTTTTCGTGAATTTCAAATATCTGGAGTTTCATATGCGCTTTTCTCTTATGTCGGAAGTTTTCCCAAGTTGGCTCATTGACTGCTACTAAATCTGCGTGAAGAATGGATTCTGAGGATGTCTAAATTTTGTCTGATATTCCTTGTTCACTTCCTTTTACTGCAAGCTCGTACACTGCCATTCTGCTCACTTCCAATTGTTTCACCCAGTTATTCTTTTTTATTGAAAGCTTTCTTTTTTTTTTGAATCTATTAGGTTGATGCACAATTCTTGCATCAAAAGATAGAAAAAATGCACTTTAAAAATGCTTAAACGAACTAATCAACTTACACAATATGCTCAATGTTATGTATATCAAAAGTAGTATTTTATAGTGTGTTTTAGAAAATCAATATCAAAGAGATCAAACAAGTTGATTTTGAAAAGTCGAAATTTGTAACTTTTCTCGGAGACTTCCAATCACCACCAACTTCTCCTAGTCAGAAAGAGTAGGTCATAAAACCATGACCAAAAATAAATTTGAACTCTTATGGACGTTACAGCAATTCTATGCAAATAAAAATCGAAAAATCACTTTTTGAGTATTTCTCTTAATCAGCTTATACCGCTGCTATATGCGCTCAAAGAATTTGAAGTCAAGAAGATTTCAAAAGAGCAAGATTTACTCTTTCTATTACCTAGTAAATCAAAAGTTTTCATTGATTCTAGAGAAAGTAACAGGATCTTATAAATTTTGGTGCAAGAATTATGCATCAACCTGATACTTAATCTGATCCTTTGGATTTGTGGTTTTCTGAAACAAATGTCTGTTTTTTTCTGCTTTTCGCATGTCATCCATCTCCATTTTCATTATTTCATTCCCATACAACAGCTCAGACGTTTTGTACAAAGAATATGAAAAGAACATCTAGTCGCTCAAATTAACTTCATGCGAACTTGCCAGTATGTATTATTTTTCTAGAATTACTAACGCGAACTGGTAGCTCATCTTTCTTTTCACCTACCTCGCCCACCATTGAGACTCAGCCATAGTCATGGTAAGTTTAACCTGAGTAAAAATACTCGAAATTTGAACAGGCATGCCTTTCTAGTTAGCGTCAATGTCATTTCACAACAAGAAAAGTGATTGACTTATTCCAAAATTCGTTTATTACTTACTATTTTCAGTCTTTCGCTGACGTTGATCAGATTTTTGGCACAGAAGATGTTCGCCCTGGTTACGAAACGCTCAAAAAAGTGAGTGTCAGAGGTTTGGCCTTTTTGCATCACATGTTACAGTATGCTACCGTAC